TGGTTTTATGTGCCTTAAGCTTCACATCAACTGAAGTTGTTGAGTAACATCAGCAAATTCCTCGCACACATAACTGCAAAGGAATGGCGGTTAAACATGGTTTGCAGCAACGGAACAGGAGGAGATTTCGTGTGTTTGTGTGTATCAAGTCCTATCACGCCAGATAACTACGTTCGGATCGGCGCCAGAGTTATTAACTGTTACAGCGGCGTCAGGCACGTCGCTGGTTTTATAGGGATTATTTCATCCTCCCAGACGTAATGCAGGTTTTGCCAAGAACAAGACCCCTTCGGCAAATTGTACTCTATTGTGATTACGTGCTAGAGCAACTCTTGTAGAAGTTGTGCATGTTCAAATATTCCATGAGCTACACTCTGTTTAGTCAAATAAATGAACAATATTGAGTTGCACACATTCCTTCTCCGATATACCACCTTTTGGATTTAACTTTATGAAATAATTTCCCAAACTTGGGGGATACACAGTTAAGACTCAGTCTTTAATCCGATATATTACGAAATCATGATTACTTGCAAGGGAATGAACTAATGCAGCACCCTAGCCAATGCCAAGCTAGTGTCGCGAGAGGTTGATTTGTAGTACACGGGCAGGTTGAGATGGAAAAAGGAAGGAAGAATGGATTTACAAGACACCGATGGGTAGAAGAACCCTTAAAAATTGTAGCCTCCATGCAGATAAAACATGAGAATTATGCAAGCATCACTCTTTCATCTAGTCTCCTTTTGAGTGACGTCTGCGATGCTGCCTACTCTTGTACTTCTGCTTCTACCTGTGAATGATTAGTAACTGGCTCACTATCAAACGCCAGAGGATGGCTGTTCACCAATGAGTGATGTGACATTCAGAGTATATTTAACGTGCTGCAAGAATAACAGTAGCGTAGACTTGATCATTAGAAAAATTAACATAAACGATTAGTATACTGCAATAAGTACACTCCATACAGCAAACCTGTCACCAGAACAATATGGAGATGTAAGAAGTGACAAGTATTGGAGGACGACTTTATTGTACTTTCTCAATTCTAATTCCACTAGTACCCATTTCTACAGAACTCAGATTTATATTGCCAACACTAAGCCAATCAAATGCCTGGAATGAGGTTGCTCATTATCACTACTGATGCAGCGTCTTAAGTCATCCCAGAAGATGCACCAGTAAAGAGATGACCTTTTACCAGTGCAGAGAGGGCCTGGAAGACTGCCACCGTGAAGTTTGAAGAAGATTGGTTTGCCCGTGCAGGTGAACACTAAACTTATGTGTTTATCGTTTACCACACAACGTAGAAGCGGTGGGTTGCTTGACTAACGAAAGTAGAAGTCACATCTATGTACGAGAATAAGAAAACGTGGGAAGTGCAATTTAACTAAATGCCACTCGGCACCTTGGAAACTTTCTCCATGTCTCTGGGTAAACTCAACAGCACAGTTGCTATATTTGCGACTTGCACTTCTAATCCCCTTTAGTCAAATGGGGCTAATAATCTCTGCTCGAGTAATAAAACCGTTGTACATTCCATGGTGTAGGTAAATTTAGACTAACATAAACTCCAATTTATCTGCCAATGCATTTCTCCAAACATAAATGCTAACATTAGGGGGAGATGGACTAAACTCATCATATAAAGTGGTAATAAAGCAGTCCCACCCCCTTTGGCTAGTCAATGTGATTAAACTGCAGTTGAGTGTGCCGTCGTTCGCCGCCACAACACATTTCCTCACAAGCACCAACTCGACTTCTCCTTCCAGCCAGTTTGAATTCTCTTCAACTGTCTGGCAAATAGTGGCCACGTAACTTGAATAATAGTTTTACTTCGGCTGAAACGCCTTTCCACCTTTGGAGCTTTTTTACACAATGGTTTTGTTGGTAGTGAATTTAAAAATTGTTTTGGCGCAATCGGCTGAGGTGAAACAAATTGAATTAAAATGTTACGACTTCTAGGCAAATTGGATTTTCGGCAAGAGCAAACATAATCTCATCTTCTCTCGGTATTGAGAGGTTTGAGTACAAAACTGTCATGTGCATTTGCATTTTAAATCGTATTTGCATTTATTCAACTTATTGGACTGCGCCATCATTTGCGGGCAGTCCTTGTAACAAATATTCCGTCTTTTGCTTGTCATTCGCTGTTATTTGTGAGGAAACAAAAGAGTAGTTATCCGCTCCGTTGCCAGCTTTCTTACCGTTCTTTGCTTTACGTTGTCTCTTGCAGGCATCAGAGGTTAAGGAGAATTTATTTTTGAGGAAAGCCTTGTAACTGATATGTAATGGGCTGGTAGGGTTCCACGACCCTTAAAAATAATCACATGCATTCATATTTCGCATTTGATTGCTATGTTATATTTCTAGTAAAACGGATGTCTCTCCAATGAAGTTATCAGACCATTTCGGAAGTCCTGACTAGTTATACCTTCACTTTCATTAAGAATCGCAAAGCATTCTGGATCCTACACTTATTAGTAGGTACTACGCCAGTGTCAGCTTTTAGATAAGGGCAGATAGTGATTTTGATGCATCACTGCGCGAATCGCCTCCAGAAGGCAATTCGTTTGACGAAAATCTTGCTGCAATCAACTACTGCCGTCTTAAGAAAGAGGTGAAACTTCCAGTTTTTATACCAATTAGAGAGGCGTTCGAGTCACACAAGATTTTTAGGGTTCTTAACAGGAAACAAGGTTGGTAAAAACGGCACTCATCTTGATACCGTCTCCCTGCCGCTTTTATTATCTTATTCTCTCCTGTTGTATCGCACTTCTAGCTGATCAAAACAGAGCAATGTCCATGTTTGCGGAAGCGTCTACTGCGATTGGAGCACCACTGGAGCTGATATGGCCACTGGCCGACGCTTGGGAGGTGGGCGACTTTTGCACTGCTCTTAAGCATTTCATTGACTGGCGTCTTACATACTCGTGGATGTTCACTGATTCCAAACATGCATTCATTTCTGAACGCCGTTTTATGCAGGCGTTTCCGGTCAACGTTTGTCCACCATCCTAGTTAACGGTGCCCGTCAGGACTGACGCCCAAGTGATGCTTGCCACTTCTTTTAGTGCTGCCACACGGGTCTCCCTTTTCACCACATACTTATAAAATCCAAAGTCCCTATTCTACTCGATCCCCTCTTGCACAATAATTATAGCTATAGGTGTCTTAAGTCTTCAGTTTCACCAAAGAGGAAGAGGGCACTCTACTCGCAGAGAATATTTTTGCGGTAAGTTCATCTGACTTGCCTCAAACTTGGCAACATCTGCAAGCGTTTGCTTACAGTGCTTCCTGTGCGTGGAGTATTGTGGACAGAATTGCAACTTGCTTTGCCAGGTGGGGCTGTGCCCAATGTATGTGCAAAATGCAGTCACTAAGTTTAAATGAAAAAATGTTCCTGTTGTTGATGGACTAAACTTTTGGACACAAATATTTGATAACTATTTTGTGTAGACGAACAGTTTGGTGTGGGCGATTGCCTCATGCTAATATCACGCCAAGGAGTCGGCCCAATGGGACATCGGTTATCAGAAATGGCAAAAACTAAAAGATGTTTCCAACCTACAAATTTTATGGAGGCAGGAAAGAAACCGAATGCACTCGCGTTTTGTAGTTCAGCATATTTCATGTCATTACCGAGGTGCTTTTTTAATGGAGATGAAAAGCCTTTGGGTGGAAGTCCACGTCTGATTTAACACTTGATATTAATGGGCAAAATGACGTCTTGGAAGAGGAAATAGTAGCAGTTTGGTACAAGCCTATCCATCTAATTTTTTGGCTTTATGGAAACGTAATGCACATTCTTTGCCCTCTTTTTGCAAAGCAGAAATGGAGAGCATTGTGTCTATTCTGCTTGATATCATTGGAAACTTTCTCAGTATGTGACATATATGCACCAAAGTCAAATGATTCCCTTCATCACAGGACCATTCGTTGGTAAATTATGGAATAATTAACTTTAACTTTGGTGTCGATGTTAATTTAGTCCTCTTTTTGAGCGCACGCTGTGATGAAAACCCACAAATTTGGGAAACTTTCAAATGCAAGCACTTTCTTGCAACTAAATGATCAGTAAATACTTCATTAGTGCCCTTCATTATAGAAATACAGTGGAAGGCATCCGAAAACTAACAATTGTGAATGCTTTGAGACAATTACTTGCAGTTCTTCACCTCTATTTTAGACGTCTCCATTTAATCACTACACGGCAGTCAGTTTATGCCACCAAGTTGAATAGTCAATACCACGATTTCCCAAGCTCTTATCTGCCATCCATATGACATCTGTGCATTGTAAGTAGGACATTTAATAAGAAGAACGATTTGATTTTCCTCAAAAAATTATTGCACAACTTATTTAAAATACTCCTACACATTTCCAGCCAATCGTTTGCCATGGCTTGTGCTAACTCATGATTCAGTTTAATCTTGGCTCCTCTAAAGAGATGCACAGTCGAGTTGCCAAATAATGGATTGTGTCTGTGCTGACTTAATGAGTGTTATTCCTAGTAGATGGCCCATCAGGGCCTACATGAACAGACTGATTGGCAGACACCCTTACGTGCTTAGTCTTTCCTCTGGTTCAATAATCGCATGGCGGAAGAAGGATTCGTAAAGAAGAGATTAACGAGTGGGTACAAAGATGGTTGCTTTAGTGAGATGCTCATGTATTAACGTATAAAGGTAGTTCGAACGAAACCTAAAGTGCACTGCCCCGGTCAAACTGTCCTTTCCTCCTTCCTGCTTTGTAACATTGCTTCAACGGCACTGATAAAGCAACTTTCTCCTTAATTATGGTCCTTTATTTTAGTTGACATGCAATGACTTTAGCCTTAATTACATCTTCCATTATTGAATACACATTGGACTTGTTAAATACACTTTACTGGCAAATGATGTAACTAGAAATATTTTACGACTTGTTTTACACGACATCCGATCAGGTAGGTTTATGCAATCCTCTTAATATCCGACTGTACTTTAGGTCCAAGTGATACAAATTCACATTGAATTGTTTACATATACTTTGCGAAACAGGTGTGTTCACATGACAAGTAGGCTATCAGAGAAATTGTAACTTTGGACTTAAAAACAAATGCCACGCGTCCGATTCGTTGGGATGCGCAATTGAATCAAACCAGGACTAATGGTACCAAATACCAGGTTTGAAAAATCTGAGAGTTGGAGATGGACCCTGATTCACTACATGGTCGCTTGCTCTTTCTTCATACCTTTCAAAGGGTCCAGCCGCTATCTGTCAGGCCTCCAGCCCTTCTCTGCTAGTATGCAGAGGATTGCTGTCTCTGCAAGCAGCACCCGACTTACGCCGATTATTACAATCACAAGGTCTTGTGTCCATGCATGATTGCCTTAGGCTCACCTCCACTGCAGGACATGCCTACTCTTGTGCAACTTCATATCAGATTGCGTTTGGTTCGGGCGTTCAGGATCACATTAGGATCAGATTTGCGTGGCGACTGTCAGCTGAATATACGCAATGTTAAAGGACTGTTATGCCGTCCCCTGCAATAGGGGCCATCACGGTTAGCACCACAGATAGGTAATCGCCATTGACATACGAACATGCGCTGATCACCGGTGAAGTATTGCCAGCATCCAAATGCCTTGTTGCTGAGCGGCTAAGTATCCCATGGGCGTATCGCAGCGTGCTTGAAGTTATCTGTAGATATGAGTAGATACAGGTGTGAGTGGGTCCAATGTGTATGAACTCGTTAGTAAGACGCTTAGGCATGGCTCATCACCACGCGCACTCATTAGCATTGCTATTTGCCTTTGTGGGTGAGGGCGTTCGGGCAAGGATTAACTGGTCTAAAGCATGTGCGCCAACTACTAAAATTTAGAAGGACAACCTTTTCATCTAACATGTCAGATGGTGGCATCAAGGCACTTTTCGCTGGATTACTTCGTAATGTTTTGTCTCGCCTTATTCATCATTCTTAAAATCGTGGTATCCTGGCTGGATTTACTCAAATCCTCACAGGTGGCACAAATTTGGACTGGCAGTAAGTAAATAAGCATGCGCTGTTCAATCTGCAGACTGAAAACTACGTGGTTTGGTGGTCTTAGGATTGAAACATGAAATAAATAGACAATGCCAAAGTAAGTCCTTGTACTCCTTTTGTTTTTGTTGTATCAAGACTGCTTAATTTAACAAAGGCTTTTGCGGTTGTTGTCTCCTCTCTGTTTAGATTCATTCCAAAAATACTAACGGTAATGCCGATGGTTGTTATAATTCACAAATTTTGGGAATATGACTTACCAAATGGACCTAACTTTTGGGATCGCAACAGTAAGGAATTGGCAAAACTGATGAGTTAGTTAAGAACTCATCATGGCATTATATTTTATCTACTTGTAAATTACAATCCGTTTTTGTGACTAAGGCTGATTTTGGGCGGTCAATCTGGCATGTGATGAGGCGCACAAGGGTTGGCTAGCTCTGAAGTGATAGTGGGTAAGAGACAATCATGCAGATAAATGAGTCTGTGCGATTAGAAGAAGTCAGCACAATTCAGGTGCAACTTGCAGAGACAGCTTTCCCTTACAGACTAGCTCGGAAGCGTTAGCTGCAGGAATGGATCGCGGCAGCTGTGCGGATAGTGGGTGAGTGCATATATACGCATTAAGATGTTAGTAGGTGACCATGGGGAACAGCCGATAAACCCGACAGTCCCAGGGTTTTGAAAACGCCCTTCTTACATCTATATATGTTTGATAAGCTGAATTCCTTGCAATAGAAAGTGCTAATCAGCAGGTTCACTATGATGGGAAGGGCTTAGTATTTTGTAGGTTTCCCACATATCCATCCCGTCGTCAACAGGTATGTCATATGAAACCTTTCTTCTCGAGCGTGCATCAAGGCCTCTTTTCGTTGCGACTCAACAGAAGGGCAGTTCAAGTAAGGAATTTTGTCATACGTGGTTTAAAATTTGGTTTGCAGTATATGTGAAAACTTTGCTTTTGATACCATACTGCTTTTTATATTTCAGGGGTAAGCCAACTTATACACGATTGTTCTTTTCAATCACATGTACCTGCGTTACCAATGGTGTAGTTTCCCGCTTTGCTACGCATTAAACAACACTGCAAACATACGAAGCACATAAAGTACTAACCGGCGTAGAATATGGATAGGGGAACAGGCTTTGCAACACGTTGATTCTCATTGGCATGGGAATAGCCCCATTTTCGAGGGAGTATTTATTTGATTTCCGATGAAATAAAAGGTGCTTCAATGTAGACATTTACGCCTTTGGGTATGACAAACTTACTTTCTAAAGATAAAGGACATACGCACCAAGTCCTGTTTACGTATTTGTTTTGCAAGTTGTTTTGTGCAGTTTTGGGAAAAGAAGTTGCATAAATTGTTTTGAGTAGGATGTGGCAGTGTTAAGGCGGCTACTGCTCATAGCGATGCACGGAAGTGTGAGATAAGTCAACAGAAAGTTTGGTGAAGGTGATTCATGGCACTGCTGAAGGAACAACTAGAGAATGTGATTTATGGAAAGGAAATATGCATTCTTGAATCAGAATGAATTGAAAAGAAAGACAAATGAAGTGGTTCGGAATTATTGCAGAAGCCTTTCGCGTTATGTGCAACGAGTCCATATCTGTCAGAGAGGGGAGCTAGGTTGGTTACGATGGCATTTGGGTATTTTAATGGTGCCTCAGGCAAATTGGCAACTTTAAATATGTTACTCGAGGTTGTGCACCTCAACCCGTAGAACAGTATACGGGTATGCATGCGGAAACTACATTGACAATCGCATGCTAGTATTTGGGGTGGAACAGTGAAAGCTTACTTTTAGACTTCCTTTCTACTAACGGAACTCGGCGTTGCTCATCATTAGCTTTGTACTTCCCATAATTTCCTGGTTGAAATGCACCAACCTTCAGTGTTCAGAAGTGCGATGCGTTTCGAGTCCACATTTATGAGAAGCTGCCTTACGTGCACTTCATTCAGAACACAATTTGTCATCGTCATCTAAGGCCCGTTTTGGCGTGGTACTCGGGTCATTTATAGAGTGGAAAAATAGTGACGTGTGGAAATACGCGTAATAATAAGGTGCAAAGGAAAGGGCTATGAGGATGTCAGTAATGTCCGAGGGCCAAGCCGCGGAGACTCAAGTGCCCAACATTTACTTCACTAATAAGACTTTGCATCATAGCATTGTGGTACTCCTACACTCACTGGTTGGCCCAAGACAAACATTATCCCACATTGAAGTAGACGTCAAAATTTTGATGGCCTGGTATAGTGCGGTCTTGGTCACTCACCGCCTGACTATGGCCTTCTTTAGGAAGTCTGTCGTATAGCCAAAGTGAAGTGAGATGAAGTGGCTGAATTAGGGCAGTTGTAGATGGCGACCAGTTAAGAGAACTCTCCTGCTGAATTGCAGTAAGTACCAAGACTGTGTGACACGGTTAATTATGAAGAGATTGGGGCAGGTCGGTATTACGATGGAATGAACTATCACTCACCTTATGCTGATGTAGTGAAGGTAGGACATTCCTTAAGGAAAAATGATTCTACATAAAAACGGTCATGAAACAGTAAATTAGAGTGCAATCTAACCAAATTTGGTGGAAATTAACTCCTCAATACAAAACCCTTGACAAATACTTTCACTCAAATACAACACTTCTGCATTTAGGTCTTTCTATTTATTTTACTGTGGGGGGCTGAGGACATATCGTTCATTTCCGGGAATCATGAGCTAATGTCTTGTGCAGTGCTGCTAATAAATGGCACAAAAATTAGTTTATCACATTCTCTGCAGTAATTGGTTTGGTTTCATGAGTGTCTTTTCGCACATTGGTCCTAATGGTCACAAGTAAGCCTAGTTAGTGGCAGACCCTCACCAAATCCGATTCTTGATGCGTTAAACACTTTGGACTTCCAAAAAGTCGATGCCCTCTCAT